TATCCTGCAAGAAGACACTCCAGCTCATCGCAAAAGTCTCTTCTCAGGAGATTTCAGTTGCTCTGCATTCCCCCAGATCTAGCAGGAAGGACCTCGCTTAGGTTCTACAGGTGGGCAGAAGACAGAGATAGGCATAAGGCAAAGTTTTTTTCTCTATATGTCTGGTACATATTGCCCTACCCAACAGTGGGTGGTGTTTATGGGGGGACCTAGACAGTATAATCCAGAGGTGGACTGACCATTCGAGCACTCGGCACTGCCCGAGGGCCCAGGGTCAGTAGGGGGCCCCATGAGATGCCCCTGGTACCTTTCATAGGCTTTTTTGGGTGTGGTTTGAGTGTGGGCAGGGACACAGGGGCCCCATGATCCCCTATTGCCCGGGGGCCCCATGAGTTGTCAGTCCGCCCCTGGTATAATCTGACCTTGTATTTTACTGCAGAGTCCACTTTAATGATTATAACTGTTTGTATGAAAGATCATTCAGAAGTTGGGCGAGAATTTTCTGAATAGTTCTACTGCTAAACCACTTGCTAGCACACAAATTTCCATGGATGGCCCCGAAGACACCAAATGGCTCTACAAAATTTGATTTAACCTCTTGCCCTCCAGAGGATTTACCCCCCTTCCTGACCAGGCCATTTTTTGCATTACAGTACTGTGTACTTTAACTGACAATTGCGCGGTCATGCAATACTACATCCGAATTAAATTTACGTCCCTTTTTTTCCACAAATTGAGCTTTCTTTTGGTGGTATTTGATCGCCTGTGCATTTTTTATGCCATGCAAAGCAGTGTGCAGGAGCTGACAGGGAGAACTGTTTTATTACTCGACAGTCACCAGGCGCCGGCTAAGTGATCACTGGCCAGGACCCGGTGATTGACAGCTGTGGCCGCGAATGGCAGCGCGGCTAGGGCATGTTCGTGCCTTGTGCACGCCCCCTACCTGGAAATGCAAAATCACAGTGTTTCTGCTATGGGGCGGAGCTGAAGCAGTTAAAAATCAACTGAGCTGGGTGCAAATTTATTAGCCATACAGTGACTACATCAAATGCAGCCGCTGTCCGGCAACTCAACTGTATTTAGGCAGCCATGGCTGCCACAGCTGCCTGCAATACAACTTACACTATTGGCATAGATGGGGTAATCAAGTGATTTTCTCTCTCTCTTGCAGGGTGAACAACCAAAGTTTGAGCTGTCTATACCCAGTCATGGCTCATTCACACCGACCCTTGAGTTGCAATGGCAATGGTATTGCACAGAGTGCTCTCTTTTCTGGGGCCCCCAGCCAGTGCTGTCCGCTCCTTCTCTTCTTCAAGTACCCCTCAGCAAGTTGTGTACAGCCCCCTGTTCACTCCTCAGTAGATTTGATTGACAGCAGCAGGAGCCAATGACTCCTGCTGCTGCCTCAGTGTCCTGTGAGAAGAAGGAGTGAGAGTAGTGCTGCAGTAGACTAGCACAGCACTGGATCAAAAGAGGAGCCAGGTAAGTGTTTAAGGGGGGTGGATGAGTTTGTAATTTAATGCATTGTTGAAAAAAAAACAACCTTATGCTTTTAGAACCACTTTTACCACTTTCCGACCGCGCAATAACAGAAAAACAGCTACAGCGTGGTCCTCCAGTTTCGATGCACGCATTGGGCATGCTCTGTGACCACTGTGTCCATTGGACACAGCTGATCACAGATCAAGGTAAAGGGCCAATCACAGTGCCTCTTTACCATGTGATCAGCTTTGTCCAATCACAGCTGATCCCATGTAAACAAATACCAGCTAACCACATTTCCCTTCCGCAGCGATGTCACTGTGTGAGGAAAGGAAAGCTGAAAATCGACAATCCTGTGACAGCACACATTTACACTGATAGTGAGGGCACTAATCATAAGTGCCCTGATTATCAGTGCAGCCCCATCAGTGCCAGTCAGTGCAACTTATTAGTGTCCATCATTGAAGCAATTCAGTGCCCATCAGTGCTGCCTTACCAGTGCAGTCTCATCAGTGCCCATTAGTGCAGCTTATCAGTGCCGCCTCATCAGTGCCCATCAATGCAGCCTCATCAGTGCCCATCAATGCAGCCTCATCAGTGCCCATCAATGCAGCCTCATCAGTGCCCATCAATGCAGCCTCATCAGTGCCCATCAATGCAGCCTCATCAGTGTCCATCATGCAACCTCATCAGTGTCCATCAATGCAGCCTCATCAGTGTCCATCAATGCAGCCTCATCAGTGTCCATCAATGCAGCCTCATCAGTGTCCATCAATGCAGCCTCATCAGTGCCCATCAATGCAGCCTAACAGTGCAGCCTTATCAGGTCACATCAGTGAAGAAGAAAAATTACTTATTTGCAAAAAAAATAGAAACTAAGAAAAAGTTTTTGTTTTTTTTGTCACAAGCAACATTTCATTAAGTTCTATTCCTGCAGCAGTGTTGGGATGTAATGTTTTTTACTGCCATTTGCTGCGCTGAAAAATGTACTGCATGCAGTCCTTTTTTTCAGTGCACACCAACAAAACCAACACCATAGGAAACAAGCAATTTGCAACGCTGGCTAGCACATCCCAACATGAATGGTGTGATGAGACCCTTGAGGTATCAGGTTCCATCCATATCTGTGCGTTGCGCCAATGAGCTTTTCTGTGCATTTTTTGCAGTATAGCATAGACAAAATCGCCAAAGAAGCTTCGGCACCTTTTTTGGGTGTAGAGCATATTTTATTTATTTCAGGTACTTATATAGCGCTATCAATTTACGCAGCGCTTTACATATATATTGTACATTCACATCAGTCCCTAACCCTCAAGGGGTGTACAATCTAAGGTCCCTAACTCACATTCATACATATCACTTACGCCTGGCAATACTAGGGTCATTGGTTCAAATCCCAGCCACGGCACCACCTGCCTGGAGTTTGCATGTTCTCTCTGTGCCTGCATGGGTTTCCTCTGGGTACTCCGGTTTCCTCCCAAACTCTAAAGACATGCTGGTAGGTTAATTGGCTCCTGTCTAAATTGGCCCTAGTATGTGTATGTATGAATGTAAGTTAGGGACCTTAGATTGTACGCTCCATGAGGGTTAGGGCTGATGTGACTGTACAATATATATGTAAAGCACTGCGTAAACTGACAGCGCTATATAAGTACCTGAAATAAATAAATAAATATTAGGGCCAATTTAGATCATTTAGACAGGAGCCAATTAACCTACCAGCATAGCACTGTTTTACCATATGTATTGGCGAATTTTTCATGTGACAAACGCACGTTGGCTACCCGCATTTAGAGTACTATTAAGAGTTATTGGTGCATCTGCCACACACGTTAAGGATGATGGCACCGCAATTACGATGCATGTTTTGGTGCATTTTTTTCATACGTCCTCAGAATGCTCAGATGTAAATGAGGCTTTAGAAAAAAACAGTGCTTGGATAGGATGATCAAGCACTTCTGAAAGGTCCTATGCAAGCATGCATTGTTGTATCAGGGGATTATGTGTGTCTATACCTATGGAGAAGAAAAAGGGAAGTCTGCTGATCGCCGATCACCCCGAGAAGGAATATGCACCACAATCAGCGAGGACCTACAGGCATACAAACATTCCCCAATCTAACCATAAATCGGACATGGGGAGCTGCCTTCACCATCCATCCTCCACATAGGACCCTTGGACTATGGACTTCCTGGTCTCCATTTGTCGCCTCATCGCCACCACATTTCGAACTCGTTATTACTGTACGCCTATTCCCCTATCTTTATTTCTCCCGCTGTATCCGTCATTTGTCACTACCCAATCTAGACTTTTCAAGTGTGGTCCTCTTCCAGCGGCCGTTTTGTTTTTTCGTTTGTCCCAATCTAACCATAAACTGCCAGATTACGCAAAAGTTTCCCTTGGCTTTAGACAGATTTGTTTTCTTTTTAGAGGTTAAACGCCTGCTACTGCAATAATATGCCCATAGAGACCCATCTATTTGGGAGGGTGAAATGGAGGGTCTTGCAGCTACACCCACTTGTCACCCATAGGTCATCAGCTTTTGTGCCTAGTGTTATACAGATCAGCCCGCAAGGTGCTTTTATGTGATTAGACAGACTAGCACTTCATATGCAAGTGACCTTTTTCACACCTCTGAATATGCCCCCCACTGTTTGCTTGTTTCTCAGTTTCAGTGCAGAATACACAATTCAATGCCCCCCCCCCCCATTCAAGTAGTTTCACTGAAGCCTCATCCCCTTTCCTCTTATCCTAATGCTATCATCAACACCAACATTAACACCCCAGCTGCTGGTGGATAATAGAAAGACCCTCATTGAATCCAGACTAAGGGTGGCCTAGAGGAGCCATCAACATGTCACTAATTAGTCATTTACTTCTACAGAAATACTCTTCAGCATTTCCTAAATAATCATTAAGGGATATGTAAATGTTGGAAACAATCACCTAGACAGGTGCTGTCTGCCTAGCTCACATTAAGCAACTTATAAATCACCTGTTTTTGCGGCTTTGTTTCAGGGGAGTGATCTCAGTGTGAAGTCACTCTTCTGGTACCATTTACAGTGTTAATTACTTCTGTATACTTTAAAAGGGAATTCCAGAAAGATAAAAAAAAACCACTGAATGCAGTTATATATTACAAATCATTAACCACTTAACCTCCTCGGCGGTCTGATTATTTCTGATTTTTTGTGCTGAAAGCGGTACCATTTTTTTGCATGGAAATATGTAGTTTTTTATTGTAGGTTGTAATTTTTAGGAATAACTCACTGAAATCTGTCCGAACAAGAGTCTATTAAACATTCCGGATATGATAAAATTTGAAACACGAAATCATAAATTATAATTTAATAAATAATCATAAAAAATAATTATATAATAATAATAAATTTAATTGAATAATATAATCAAACCAAAAACACTGAAATTTGAAATACTGAGGCAAATTCGCACATCGCTGAGCAAAGTCGCAAAATCGTTTTCAGTGTCTGATGACGAATTTCCCCACGAATCATCACTCAATTCTGCAAGTGGTTCTGATTTACTATCGCTGTTCTCTAGCCGGTCTAAAACTGCTTTTGACCTAAAGGGACACTTTTTGGACGCCATGGACATTTCTAAGTTTCCAGGCAGAAAGAACAGTAAAAATGCAGGCAGGGCACAGGACAAAGCAGTAGGGACAAAATGTATGTGAAATGCATTGAAACAGTAATGTTTTTACTATGTAATAGTCATTTTTAAAAAAAATGAAATTTTTAAAAATGTCAAATTTGCCGCCGGTTTCAGCGCCCGTACGTCCCGACGTCACAGGGACCGGAACACGGAAGCCGGATGACAGCATCGGCCGGAGGAGATGGCCGGGGACGCTGCAGGGGACACATCGTGGGAGTGAAGGACAAGGTAAGTGCTGCAGGGACTCCCTGAGCAACGCCGCATGGTAAGCACGAGTGTAGCTCGGGGTTACCGCTTTTGGTACTGACATTTTACCCCGAGCTACACTCGGGAATACCGCCAGGGAGGTTAAACTCTGGAAGATTTTACCCCCTTTATGACCAGGCCATTCTTTGCTATTTAGCACTGCGTTACTTTAACTGGTAATTGCGTGGTCATGCAATGCTGCACCCAAACGAAATGTACATAATTCTTTTCACACGAATGGAGCATTCTTTTGGTGTTATTTGATCACCATTCTTTTTTTATTTTTTGCAATATAAACAAATTTAAAAAAAACAAAAACTTTTTTTACTTTCCGCTACAAAACATCCAATAAAAAAATAAAATAAATGTCTTCACAAATTATGGCTAAGATGTATTCTGCTACATGTCTTTAAAGTGTTACTAAACCCACAAGAGTAAAATCATTCTGTATATGCAGTAAAGCATGCTTTTTATACTCACTGTGGAACCGAAGAGGTTAATCCTCTGCATTTTGTAAAAAGTATGTTTGATCCTTGGAGGGAAGCTGAACATGCTCAGTTTGGTGCGTATTGCTAGAGCGTTGTTTTTTTTTTTCTTGGGAGAGTGAATGTGATCAGCAGAGGGTGAATCAGCACTGTCCAGACAGAGGGTCAGGGGTCCTGCAGCCTCATAGGACAATCAGGGGAGAGTGAAAACTCCTTCTAAAAGCTTTAACCAGTGCTCTGCTGGACACTGATTGAAGTCACAAGACTGATCTAACTGCTGATGAGAAAAGGTGTTCAGCACTTTATAATTACTAAAATAATTGCATTTCCATGTTCTGTGTACTGTGTGAGACCAGATATAGTGAATGCAGGGTCACAGGTTTAGTAACACTTCAATTAAAAAAATCCCAATAAATGAATGTTGATTGGTTTGCCCAGAAGTTATAGAGCCTATAAACTATGGTATATATACTTATATACTTTTTTTTATACTACTAATGGCGGTGATCAGCAACTTATAATAGGACTGCGATAGGGCGGTGGGCAATCTGACACTGATGCTGGGTAAAACTGACTAACTGCCACTAACATCACCAGTGACATTAATACAGTGATCAGTGATAATACTAGCCACTGTCACTGTACTAATGACACTGACTGGGAAGCAATTACATCTAGGGGATCAGAAGGGTAAATGTGTGCCTACCTATGTGTAATGTGTGTAAAGCTTTTTACCAATAGATCTCTAAATTTCTGATCCCTGCTTTGCAGGTATGAGAAACAGAGAGATCCTTCCCTCTGTACAGAGCTCTGTGTTGATTGTCAACACAGAGCTCGGGGCTGTGATTGTACACAGCTAATTAGCAAGTTTGGCCTGTCCGGACGAGCGACCCACACAGGCAAATCAACATACCTGTACGTTGCTGCCTGTTTCCGGGTTTTAGGCGCTCCTGTGGGGCACCAGAAACTCAGGAAAAGGCAGTGATATATGGGTACATCGCTTTGCCTGTGTGGGCCGCCCATCCGCAGCACCTTGTGGGAGGTTGGACTGCAAGTTGTTTTATATATATATATATATATATATATATATATACTGTGTGTGTTTATGTATGTGTATAGCAATCCCAGCTCATCAGCACTGTGACTGGGAGATGGGGGGTCAGCACATTGAGGTCTTCATTGCTGTGCACAGTGCTACCAATATAAAGTTTGCCACACACTTTAATATCTGACTGTACAATCCCCTTTGAATCCACTAACAACTATATAGGTAGGTCCTCATATTACATAATTTTGACTGTTAAAAGATTGTACAATCAGATTGTAACATGTATGGTGAGGTTGAAGCTGGCCATGTACTGTGCAGTTTTCAGTCTAAAAGAGTGCAAGGCCAGCTTTACAATATGAACATGCAGCGTGGGAGGATTGCAAGAATGACTGTATCAACCTGCATTGACTAGTTACTGGGTGGGCCCTTAACCAAGCGGTGTAATCTGCATGCAGGTCTCAGACCAAGTCATGCTGTCTGGAAAGGGTCTGGATTATGGGATGGGCTGGGAGGAAATAGAAATCCTTAAAGCAGAACTAACATTCCACTGTTCAATGTGAGCAGGCAGGTTTTTATTTGCGGAAAAGACATGCAATGTCTCATTTGCAAAAAAATACACTTACCTGCCTGTTCTCAGCATCCCCAGCAGGTAGCTTATATTGGATGGCTCGATTCCTGTGTGACCGAATGACAGCCTCCTGCACATGTGCAGGGGTGACGTCATCCCGCACCAGCCAATGAAGCAGAAGATGATGACCACGAGGGACGAGGACCATTGGAGTAAAGGTGAGTATAAGCTGCCTTTAGTTAAGGCAGGTAAAATATATAATTTAATGCAGAACTAAATCCAACAATTTAACCGTTTCCCAAAATAGTTACATTAAAAGCATGCTGTGAATGATAACTGTCACAGTTGCTTGTGCTCTCAACCAAACTGTCAAGCCATCAAATGGCTGGTGTCAAAACTGACAGCAGCACTATGGCAACTGCAGATCAAACAGAGGCAACAATGGCAGTTTCCTGGGCTGTAAAGGAGAGGAGGGTTTAGTTCTGGTTTAAGTGTCTACTTAGCGGTTTGCCTGGAGTTCAGGTGTACAGTGCAGGATACTTGGTCCGATAGTGTCATTCTTTATCCCCATAGTGGCCACTGATCTGATTCTTTCCATAATACACTAGAAATGAACTCTGCAGTTGCTGTGGGAAACAAGAAGGATTTCTCCTTTATAAACCTACAATAATGTGGTTCTATTGATGCTGTCAATGCTGAAACTTTGGCTGACCATGAACCTACCATAATAGCACCATGCATAAGCTACAGAAATGTAGTGATGTCATAGTGCCCAGGGTGATAATACCTGCATTATGGTGGCACCAGGACTCTTTAATTCAGTCATTACCAGCATAATCACCCGGCTGCATTCTACATCAACTGGTTTAGGTATGCTTTTCCAGTATGGAATAGTGGTCAGGGGCCGATGCATTGGATTCCAACCCATCCTTTAACCATTTTTGCTTTTGTATGTGTACATTCCTCATGAACTAGAGCAATTTTGACACTTCAGCTAGGGGACTGCTGATAGGGCAGAGCAATCATTTTCATTATTCACAATACAGAAGTAATACAAATAATCTGGGGGACAAACAAGACTTTATTTGGCAATATTGTCTTGAAATTTTATTTTATTTTCTACTCATTCTAAAGGCAATAAGCTATAACAAAATGAAAAAATACTCTTTTTTTATTTGTATTTTTTTTTACCAAAATATTAATCGTGCAATCTTTATTCTGTGATTTGTCCTATTTAGAAACATATACACATACAAAAAGATTAAGTGGTCCATCGAGTCATATTTATTGTTTTTTTTCTTTTGTTAACTTTTTTGTCTAAGTATAGTTCTATGTTTGTCCAAAGTATGTTTCATTCCACTAACTGTTGACTGACTCACTACCTCTGCTGGAAGTCTATTCCAAGTATCAACTACTCTTTCGGTGAAATAATACTTTCTAAGATTAGTTTTGAACTTGCCTCCTGTTAGTCCTGAAGTTATTTCCCTGTGTTCTTGATTGAAAATCCTGCCCTCTGGAACCTTATTCCCCCCATTGATATATTTAAAGGTTTCAATCATATCTCCCCTCTCCCTTCTTTCCTCCAGATTGTACATGTTAAGTTCCTGAATTCTCTCTTGATATCTTAGATAATGACACTACAATAAAGTGGTTGTAAATGTAGAAGGTTTTTTACCTTAAAGAAGTAGTAAACTTCATTTTTTATTTAAAAATGCTGACAGGTAGGGTATTTATAACAGAAGAGACCCCATCAGTCTCTTCTGTCATAAATGCTTCCTCCTGCCTGTCAGCCGTCATGTACACTGAGCCACGCAAGCAAAACTCAGCAAACATTTACAGCCTCAGATCTACAGTTGTGGCCAAAATTATTCAACCCCCAATGCTGTAAAGGGGTTTAGGGACTATAGTGTACATTTGGAATTGTATTCAGAATCAAATCCTACAAGGACGTTGTAACTACCCAAATGCAACTAAAATGACATCAATTGTTTATGTAATACAGTAGTAAATGGTTCTTATGTGGTTTCTTCATTGCCACAATTATTCAACCCCTTAAAGACTACCACTCTGAAGAACAGAGGTTCATACAGGTGCTTTCCATCAGGTATTGAAAACACCTGTGGATGTCACCGAGCAGCAATCAAGCATAATAAGCACCAATTAGGCAGCTTTAAAATGACTGTGATACTCAGCTCCTTCTAGACATTTACTGGTGTGGTTACAAACATGGTGAAGGCAAGAGAATGGTCCAGGAAGACAAGAGAAGAGGTGATTTCTCTTCACAGGAAGGGCAATGGCTATAAGAAGATTGCAAAGATGTTAAACATACCAAGAGACACCTTAGGAAGCATCATTCGCAAATTCAAGGCAAAGGGCACTGTTGAAACGCTACCTGGTCGTGGCAGAAAGAAGATGCTGACTTCGACTGCTGTGCGCTACCTGAAGCGTAGAGTGGAGAGAAGTCCCCGTGTGACTGCTGAGGAACTGAGAAAAGATTTGTCAGATGTGGGTACAGAAGTTTCAGCCCAGACAATAAGACGCACACTGCGTAATGAAGGCCTCCGTGCCAGAACTCCCAGGCGTACCCCCTTGCTGTCTCCAAAGAATAAGAAGAGTCGACTGCAGTATGCCAAAAGCCATGTGGACAAACCACAAAAGTTGTGGGATAGTGTTCTGTGGACTGATGAAACAAAATTAGAACTGTTTGGGCCCATGGATCAACGCTATGTTTGGAGGAGGAAGAACAAGGCCTATGATGAAAAGAACACCTTGCCTACTGTGAAGCATGGTGGAGGGTCAATCATGCTTTGGGGCTGTTTTGCTTCTGCAGGTACAGGGAAGCTTCAGCGTGTGCAAGGTACC